GTCGGAGGAAAGGAAGCGAGGGGGGACGCGTTACTCGTATTCAACGCGGCTCTCTCAAGTGTCAAATGACATTATAATGCATTAACTGCTGGGTAGACACGCGTATGCGCGAGAGGAAGCCTCCGCGGTTGATGGTCGACTCGTGATAATGATACGCGTCGATCGCGTCCGACTTCGCTGACGAATGTTACTCGAAGAGAGAGAGAGAGAGAGAGAGAGAGAGAGAGAGAGAGAGAGAGAGAGAAATTAATCGATCTTGAGTATGTAGTGGTCCTAGCCAAAATAGACATGCCTTCATGTGGTCCAGATATGGCCAAGATATGGCCAAGATATACAAATTCTGTATAGAATTTCATGAACTGATCATGAATTGATGCTGACATACTCGTAGATGCCCCAAAATAGATATGCTTTCGTAAAATTTAGATATGGCCAAAATGGACTAATTTTGAATGGAATTTCACGAATAGGTCATGAACTTTTAGTAGGGAAATATCTAACGGGGAAGCCACAAATGAAGCTTCATGCTAATAAAGTTTGGTTAGGGGTAGTTAACCAATTCCTGAAATAGTTCCAGTAAAGAAGTGATTGTTTATTAATAGTTAATGATTGATAATTACAAGGTAAATATTTTGACGAGTGTTACTATTTTAGCTACTTTAAATAGTTGAAATAAGCATCTAGTCTAGTTAAATACTACTGTGTCCAAAAAGTAAGGTGACATTGCATTTATTTCGAAAATTCTTTATTTATTCTTGCAAATCAATTTCGTCCCCTTCAAAGTAATCCCCCCCTGATATAATACACTTATTCCAACGGATTTTCCAATCTTCGAAACAGTTGTAATAATCGATTTCAGGAATGGCCTTTAGCTCCTTCTTCGCAGCGGCTTGAATCTCTTCTATCGACTCGAAACGGTGTCCCCGGAGCGGCCGCTTGAGTTTGCTGAATAGCCAGAAGTCGCATGGAGCCAAATCAGGTGAATACGGTGGTTGTGGAACGATATTAGTCGAGTTTTTGGCTAAAAAACTTTTTGGCCGCTCCGGGGACACCGTTTCGAGTCGATAGAAGAGATTCAAGCCGCTGCGAAGAAGGAGCTAAAGGCCATTCCTGAAATCGATTATTACAACTGTTTCGAAGATTGGAAAATCCGTTGGAATAAGTGTATTATATCAGGGGAGGATTACTTTGAAGGGGACGAAATTGATTTGCAAGAATAAATAAAGAATTTTCGAAATAAATGCAATGTCACCTTACTTTTTGGACACAGTAGTATACATCAACATAGGATCTGATCAGATTTACAAGTCTGGATGTAAATTTGTAAGAGCGTTACGTGTAGAATCTAAATGAAACCGTCATTATAGAGCCTTGATAGAAGCAGAGGAAAACTGTCTAAGCACTTTTTAATCCCTCTTTTAAATTTCTACTCGGATTTTACCTTCTTGCGCGCACAGTGCGCAAAAAATCACGTTCGCGGTAAGTTCGCGTGGGTGATCAGCCCGGCTCTCTCTCCCTCGTGTCCCGGTGAAAGCGTGTTCTCCGCGATGATATAATCGATTTATCCCGTGCGACGTGAGCTCGAAGCGCAGGGATTTCGTTTCCGATGATAATCCGTTAAAACGTACGTTACGGATGGGATTAAGTATTCACGCTCGACTCGATTCCCCGCTTTCCTGGCGCGCGAAAGATTAACGATGCTTCGGCTCTCCTCCGCACATCTCGGACACTTGTATGAAATAAAGATTATCTCCATTACGCGAGAACGGGTAATGATGTTTTCAACTTCCTCAAATGTAGGATCCAATATTCTCGTCGTTAAAATAGGAAATTATGCGAATTTTATTATTGTAATTACTGAACAACTTTGGAAACGCTCCGCAGTACTATTTTAAAGAAATACGTTCGCTGCATGTATTACGTGAAAATTTCACGTCATGAATATCCTTCCCTGATATCTTAATTATTTTTATATTTTATTTTATTATCTTCACGTTTTCCGCTCAATGACAGATTCTCGCGAAGACGATCCTTCATTCGTATCTCTCGGTCTCCCGAAATAACGAGCGAGGCGTCTCGATGATACGATACAAAGAGCACTGCCATTCAGTGATCTACAAACTGTCGGCAAAAACGCCACTTATCCCCGCGTGAGATCTCTCGTTCTCAGCTACCATCGATTATAAATAAAAAATTTGATGACACGCACAAGCGTCATCCGAAGGATGACATCACGCGCGGCGAGAAGGAGCACGGGGAGGGGGAGTAACAAAGCGACTCACGGGTGACAGGCGGTGCGGACGCGAGCGTGAAGAAGCGCCTAACGACTCCGCACGCACGCACGTACGCACGCACGCACCCGACGACTCGTAAAGCGCATGAGATATTAATAACCCGTTCGACTCGGCCTGTTTTTGCGACTCAGTCTCGCGACAAGTTGGACATTTGGGGCCGCTCGTGCCTAGCGCAGCGCGTTGTACGAATCGGGCCTCAGGCCCACAGATGCGCGCGTCCACGTGGATGACACACGGCGGCGGTAGGAACGCGAGGAAGAAGAAGAACGGAACGCGCGAAAGGAGAGGGAGGGAGAGAGAAAGAAACGGAGATGAGGAGGACGGAGGAGCAGCGGGCGCTGCCACTCAGCGGCCCATAAACTGTATGAAATATTAATAATGGCGCCGCTCTCTCGTCGAGGCGGAGGACTCCGCCGCACTCTGGGACGACGTGAAAGAGGGGCGAGTCCTGCGGGATCGTCGCGTCGGTTCGTTAACCTCGAGTCCGCCGAGCGAATTTCTCGCGATTTTTCGCCCGAGGGTTTCCCGCCGCTGTCTTCAAAACGAACCCTCGGCGCGTCGTTGCCAGTGTGATTACCGCCGGACGCCTCCACGTTCAATTGATTTAACCGGCCTGCCACGCACCGCTGCATCCGACACGTTGTGCGCGTATCCGGGAAACACGCGTCCACGCGAGCTTTACAGATTTAAGATAACTTTGGCTCTCTCTTTCGGATACGCGGGAACAACAACTCCGTTAGTATAACTGAACTTTCTGTTACCTGGGAACCAGATGAAAAACTCGGTTGTGGAAACAGGAAGACACTTGTAGAAGGCTCTTGCTCTCAGCTAGTTGTTCTCAGCCACTTCAAACAAGTTTTAAGCCTTAAACGACAAGACAGTGCGACAACGAACCCTACACTGGAGGAAAAATATCTAAAAATCTGTAAATATTTATTTGGTGGGTACTAACAGTATATTGATTTGTATTAACATAAAATATATTTCATAAGTAAGAACATTTTTGAAACCTTAAGAAAATTTAAATTCTTCATGAGAGCAATTATTCGTTCTATTAAAGTGAAAATTTATATTTGAATAAAAATATACTTAACACCCACCAAATAAATATTTATCAGTTTTTCTATATTTTTTTCTTTCTGTATACTCGGTATATATATTTTGCAATGCGATCTATTGAAATTTTACGACATGCTTGATAATTATCAAGTTAATCAGTGATGTTAATCAAATGATTTATCGTATTAAATTTCGTTAACTTCATAATTTTTATGAACATTTTTTTTATGAGATTAATTAAATGTTAAGTTATAAGACTGATGGCTCTTTGAGCACGTAAAGTCGGCGGTGTCTGAAAATTTAAATCTCATATATTGCTCAGTATAACGCTTTAACGAACATAACTTTTTCTACTCGACATGGCGAAGTTTAATCATCTAAAAATATTCGTCGAACTTACGCCTCTCCCTGTTTCAAAGTATTCAGCCTGAGAACGTGAAAACGCTCCTAAATTATAATATTAATTGCATTTCCCGAATCTGTAGGAACATGTATAATTTTAATAGGTCGGACGCGAAGAGAGAGAATAATTTTAAATGGGAAATTAAGAGAGCTTTGTTGTTGGTTACCTCGAGAGATTTATAGTTGGACAGGTTTCAAGTATATATTCGTAGCAGCAGGTGCTCTCGAGTTTATCGCGCTTCGACCGTTGACCGCGTCACAATGAAAGACAATAGACCGTATACATCGTGACAGCTCAACCGCCCTCGACGTTCATAGTTCGATCGCGGTGAGTTCGACGTGCACGAGATCGCGGAACACCTGCCGTACGTATATTTATTAAGCGGTCGGCCGTTTCGCCCTGGCGATTATAAATCGGAAATATTTAATAAATATTTTGTAACAGTAAAAAGAATTGCATTAGATAAAGGAGGATGCACGCGATGAAATAATAAAAAGTCAAAAACTCCCAGTAATGCGAAAACTGAAAAATCAGTTTCTTAAGATTATTTGAACAGAATTACCGAACTTTTTTTTTTAGTAAAATGTAAAAATTCAATGAAACAGTTTTCTTCTTAGTGCTAAACGATACAATTATTTGAAAAGTCAAGCAATCGTATTTACTGATTGAAACATTAGTTTCTTTGGACTTTTCCAATGATCGAATTTATTTAGAGTAAAATTAATCCATTAAAATTAATTAAATTCAAAGAAATCTGTTCTCTATGTATGTAATGTAAAAAAGATACAGGCCACTTAGGTTATTGTATTGATAGTCGTTACTTGAAACTTGTCCTACGTAAGACATAGATCCAAATTTAAAGTTCAATATGAGTCCCTTATCTGGATTATGTAATATATGTGACATTATGTTTGTAATGCGATTCAGCTGAGAAACTTACATTATTAATAGTCATCACCTGAAACTTGTCTCACGTGAGATACTTACAAGTAAACCTATCTAACAGGCATAATCCGATTTCTTTTTAATTTGGCATAAATGTAGAAGTATAAAAAATATTTAGATCATATTTTTTTCATTTTGGCCCACTTTGAGTTTCACGGACAGTTTCTAGTTTTTTAATGTTTTCACTATCATCTAACAAAAATATATAAGAAATAAAATTGAATATAATCGAATTCCTTAATGCCTCCATTGTCGTGTGTAACTAATTAATACTAAATTAAATCTGCTTTCTGTTGCAGAGACGACGCAAGCGACCTGCTGACTCTAAAGGACTGCTGTGCCGGAGGATCCGGCTCGGGCCGAGCAGGGTCTGCTCGAAGGTGAGCATTATTAATTAGCATTCATAATTAGAAATTCGACAAGACTGATCATTTTGTTGCTCAAAATTGAGATAATTTGAATTGAGTCAAATATCGCGTTAAATTGTAATTACACGTGGCGAGAATTTTTTTGGGTAACATCGTTACTTGAAAAATGTTGATTTGTTCTGACTAAGAGATTTATTTGCAACATCAAGAAAAAAGAAAGTGGAATATTTTAGTATGAATGCATTCCGAAAAACTCTCCCAGCATGAAAAATATCGCGTTTATTTTTTTTAATTTTTCAAACTTCTTCACTCAAATCGACATCAATGCATGAATCTAATTGGCGAAACGGCATTTTTTTTGTTCCAGAAACGAAAGCAGAACGTGGCTGCCCTGATCGGTGGTTCGGTGAGTCAAAACAAGAAACATATTAATAATAGAAAGACAAAAAGTCTTTCGATGTAGTGCATGCTTATAAATCAATGCGATTTACTTTGCTGTAGTTTTTTTGTAGTATGTGCCGTCCAATAAAAAGCACCCTGCTCGAAACATTTGGAAGATCACTTTTTTAAAGAATAATTTAGTAATGCATATTCTACATTTGGCAAATAAATATTCAAATAGTTTCCTCCCAATGTACATATATTTATTAATTGATTAACTTACATTATTAATTGGTCGACGATTTTTGTCGGAGGAAATTTTGATTAATCAAACCTGAACACTATGTGCTAGATACTTAAAGTATTGAGTATGCGCTCTGAACATTGAAAGTTTTCTAAAATTATTCAGTTTTATTGAATGCAATCTTCCAAGTGTCTCGAGCAATGTGCCAATGCGCAAAGAGATTGCGCCACAGAGATTGTGCCACAAAAAATGCGCAATCACATCACCCGCGTCATAGATCTTCCGTCGTTAATTTTCTCAATTTTCTCTCGTGTGAGCTTGAATCGCAATTGTATTTCATAAAGTAGAGTTCATGCTTCGTTATTGAGTAAAATTCGATATCGTGCAACACTTGCGCGAAGCAATCAAATGTGATTATATAAAACTGCTTGCAAAATTAATTTCACGATCATCGGAAAATTTTCAAGTTTCAATTTTTCACTTAGAGTTAGAGTTCTCTAACGCGGGACACAATAGAGACAATGCTAGCGAACGTTGATCCTTCGCGAAAAACACGATGTAAACAAGTCAGACATGCGAGCAGTTATTTGTTTACTTACGCGACGTGCGACAAGTTCCATCGAACAAAGACAGACGTCTCACGCAATAACATTTTTTTCACGTGAATTTTGGACAGAATCTCTATTATCATTTTCATAATTTTTTATTTTTCATTCACGCTCGCGTTCGCGATTATTAATTTGATTTGCGAACTTTACCGGATCGTATTTACAAAAGAGTCGCGAGCGAACTTCGCAGAAATATTGCGGAATTGTTATCCGCAAAAGCATTACGGAATTGTCTTCGCAAAAGTATTGCGGAGCTGTTATCTGCAAAAAATTGCGGAGCTGTATTGCAGCCTACTACGCTACACCATCGAAACGTTACATGAGGGATATTGTACGAAAATTTCGCACAGATTACTTCGCCCACGTGTCGAAAGGTTTCGCGGGATCGGCCTTCGATTCGCGTCGCATGTTTTCTTCGCTCGCGGATTCCGTTTTTTTCGTAAGCGATTCATGTCGCGCGTGTATCAAAGCAATACACTGCAACTCGATCGGACCGTTGCTGAATTTGTCGCATATACTCGTCGTTTCCGAAAGGCCGACATTTCCTCGAAAACGCAGTTCGTGATATTTCATACGCATTTTGCAACTCGGAGTGTACCCCCTAAGAGAGGGATTTTTCGTGAAGTCTCCGTTAGATTACCGCGGTCGGGAGTGAATTACAGGCGACGTGGGACGCGAGGACCATTGCAGTGTCAAATGCAGCGATAGGATGGCTGATGGACCCTGGACACCGTGGGACGACGCGCAATGGTGAGCGCCCAATTTAGACGCTCATATAGTAGATACAAAGCGTCACTTTACGTAGATTGCATGCACGTAGACGTAAATCGCATTGGATTCGACGGGAAGTAAAGTAAGAATTGAAATTTGCAATTCGCCAGAGTTACGTAAGAATGATCCAACCAAAGAATTTAGCTCTGAGATTTTCACAATAGTTTAACGAGTCAAACATGTCCATTTCTTTAAGAGTACTGATTAGCTCAATCCTTAGAAAAATGTGCAAAAAGACGCAACTGGTAAAAAAATAAAAAAAAACTGTTTCTTAATTCATTTCAAGCATCTATAAGGCTTGAATTTTTTTGTTTGGATTAAAAAGATGAATGGAGTATCCATTGATAAAAGCTTATAGTTTTTTTAATTGGATCATTTTGCATAACAATGGTCTATTGAAATTTCGATTCGGCAGGCTTCCTTCTCGTCGGATTATTTCTTGATGATACATTAAACTGATATATTTCAACATTTCATATTTATATGCTCTATATATGTTATATATACTTTTTTACGCTCTATATATATTTTATATATACCCAATGTATGCTCTATATATTTGATTAATATACTTTATAACTTGTTATGTCGTATTATGTACGACATACTATCTCTTTGGAGATATTTTCTTATGCATACGCGTTTGTTGTTGACAAGACAACTAATTAAATTTCGATAAATTAAATTATTAAGCTGAGACTCTAACCGAAATGTTTCGATTTCCCACTAAATTATTAAGCCGAGATTCAGATCCGAGTGTTTTGAGATTCCGCTAAACCATTAAACCGAGATGCGAGCCGATGTGTTTTGAGATCCCGCTAAATTACTAAACCGAGATTCAATCAGTGTTTTGTGTTTCTGCTAAACTATTAATCGGGATTCGAACAAATGTGTTTTGTGTTTCCGTTTAGTTATTAAATTAATAAGCCAAGATTTGAATCGAAGTGTTTTGAGTCTTCACTAATTTATTAAGCCGAGTTAATTAAGCCTGGGATAATTTTTTAAAGTTTCTTAAAGAAATTTTCGCGTTTGCAAAGGTGTATTTTCGGAAATGACGTGAAGTGTGCGTATTTCGCTCTGCATCATCTCTTGGATAACAATGTGCCTTAATGTCACTTCACTTCCTTAGCAGCACACGCAGAATCTTCAAAATAATTTCCTAATATCCCAAAGTCGCGCTCATAACCTTAGATCCACCGTAGCAGTATATTCGTATTCTCGCGTGGTATCCATCCTGCGCATGGGCCGAAAATCGGTCATGTTAGTGCAGGTTAAGTCATGTAGTGCTAGCATATAAAGCACATTCGGAGATAGTTTTTTAGAGTTTTTTAAAGCAACATTCGCGCTTGAAAAGGTGTATTTTAGAAAATTACGTCAGGTGTATTTATTTCGTTCTGCATCTCTATAAATGCTCAGTGTTCTTTATAAAATATATGCGCTCGCGGTGGCGGCTTCTATTTTCAGACCGATTATCTCATACGTTCGGCAAGTCCCCGCCGCGGAAAACGATCCTTATCGCGAGCGAACGCGTAGCGATACTCGAGCGAGTGCGATTGTTAAAGAAACGTCCCGAGTGGCTGATTGCTCATGACGAGGTGGAGGAGGTGAGGTCGATTAACCCCGGGGTAATTAGTGTCACGAGGCGACCGAGGCGCGTTCCCCTTCCCGCCGGCCACGTAGACCGGCTTCTACCACAGGTGTGGGTACCTTAAACGGCTATTTACGCTCACATTGTCGTAATTATTTCGTAAGGACGACCGTAAAGCCGGCTACGTTATTACAGCTCGCCCTCCACCTCGTTCGAGTCTTTCTTAGCCTTCTTTTTCTTCGTAGAGGCCAACGTCGTCGCCCATGCGCGCGCCCTACCGATTCTCCCCCGAGCAGGTGAATATTATGCATAATGAATCGTCCGCGTCTCGGGCCTCTCGCTTACCTGGAAACTCGAGGCGGTCTCGCGGCGAAAGAAAGGGCGGCTGAGACGAACGAGTCGAGATCGAGACGTCGATCCGCCGTCTCCGGTCGTCTTTCGACCGTTTCTCTCTCTTTCTCTCTCCCCCCGTCACCTTATCTATCTGTCCACCTCGTGAGATCGTTACGGCGATGATATTTACAGGCACATTAATAATTACTATCGGCGCGTTTAACACAAACGCGCGTGGCCTCGGCTTCAAGCCGGGGCTGTCACTTGTCACGTCCGATCCGAGTCCGCGACGAGACGCTGCGAGAATCGACGGGTTAACGAGCGCGCGCGTCGCCGATTCATCGGTGCGCAGGTGGCGAGGGCACACACACGAGGCCTTGTCGCGGTCATCTTTTATATCTTAATCTCGCCTTCATCTCGCGTTCCGTCACTTGTCGTTGCTCGCGCGTCACCACGCGCCGGGACTTCGGCTCTGTTCCTTTCATTAGCTGAGCTAGACTGCGCTTTTCGTGAGCGAGACGAGTAAGAAAGAACGGCTTCAAGTAGCCGGCATTCAGCTTGTTCTCGGCAGTCTTACGCGCGACCAAACGTGAAGGAGTGTATGACAATTTAAAAACAAATAAATAATGAATTATAATTGATGGAATATTGAAAGAATAATTAAATAAGTCTCTATATGGACATGTACGTTGACTCCTGTGTGTGCCCGGAAAAGTTTCCCGGTAAGTTTCAGTGTTAAATTTCTTCTGATTTACTTAAGTTGTACTTTTTTTAACTCACAGAAGACACAGATGTGTTTTGTATCCTATTTTTCAAAATTCTTCAGAGAAAAAAGCTATAAAAAAGAAATCTAGATATACTTATTGAAAAAAGATCCTGGAGATCTGAGTTGAAATTGTCTGTATATTTTGATGAATCAGGGTATATTTAACAACAGAAATGGCTCTAAATGCCACTTGTAAGTTATAAAGGGAAGCCCTTAGACAAAACTAGGTTGAATACTAGGTTGAATAGAATCAAAAGAGCTTGATATACGATTGGAATGTTGAGGTCGAAA